GTGTATGTGTGGTTTCAGCTGACATTGGGGTTTGAAATGTGGCCGTGTACCTGTTGCATCGATCAGGATGTGTTTCAGCAGTGGCTGGAAGCTGACGGCATCTTCACCGTTCCTCTCAAGGGCTGCCCCCTCGCCATGAACCAAGTACTGCTGCTTGTTCTGTGTGTGTGTGTGTGTGTGTGTGTGTGTGTGTGTGTGTGTGTGTGTGTGTGTGTGTGTGTGTGTGTGTGTGTGTGTGTTTGTGTGTCTCTGTCTCGCGGTGGAACATGGATGTTGTGACAGTGCCCACGGCCAAGATTACACGCCTGCTCATCGCCCGCACTCGCACAACGCAACTGCACATGGCTGTCTTCAGGTTGCCATTTCGAGTGTGTCACCAACAGTTGCAGCACACATTGCAGACGGCATGGCCGTGCTGGTGTGAAGCGCAATCACAACACCGACGCAGCACCAACAACATTCACGTGACACGCGACAGGCGCGCGCACACACAACCACGTGTGTTTCATCCACCATGCTACAATCCTCGGCAGCGCACACCGCCAAACACCTGCCCTTTGTTACACCAGCCACACAACATATTTGGCAGCTCTTTCAAGGCCAAACCCACTCTCGAAACACTTGCGTTCCCGTGGTTCTTCTTTCCATGGTCCTTCTCATTGCTTATCCTTCTTTCTCCTCTTCCTACTGCGATTGCTGTTTTTATTTCTTCAACAAAGCGCCCACAAACACTCACGGAGATGCCATAAAAGAAACACAATGTGATTGATGGACAGTCCCAGCAGAAGTATCATAGACGGGGTGGGGTGGTGTACACGTGCACGCGTACATATGTCCACGCCTGCACACGTGTACAGATGCACGCTGCGCAACACTGCAACCACTGCCGCACTGACACAACCAAACCAACCACGAGGTGACGGCGTCACGCGGCCGTGTCTGGCTGCGTGGCGAATGCAAACAGCCTGAAGGCGAGCTTGAGCAGCGTCTCTGGCCGGCGCTTCACGCGGAAGATGCGCTGCATACATTCGCACAGCGCAACGGGTCCGTCGCGCCCCGCAGACGCCAGCAGCGCAGTGAAGCCAGCACCCTCAACGTGCGACAGCAGCGACGAAAACTGCACCAGGGGGGGGGTGTGCGTGTGTGTGTGTGTGAGTGTGTGAGTATGCATGTGTGCGTGTGAGTGTGTGTGTGAGTGTGTGTGTGAGTGTGTGTGCGTGCGTGTGCGCGTGTGCGTGTGTGTGTGTTTGTGTGTTTATGTGCGTGTGCGTGTATGTGTGTTTATGTGTGTGTGTGCGAAAAGCAGGCCGCTGTGTGGTGCATCGTGTGCGTTAGGCTCTCGGTGTTCACTAGCGCTACACAGTTTGTGTCCACAACTGCGCATGCGTTCACCCTTACACCAACCTCGCTGCAATCGTTGTCCTTGAGCCACGTGTCAATGTCCTCCCGACCCCAAAACGTCGTTGCAAACACATGCGCAGGCAGCGGCTGCGCATATGTGGCGTTGCTCATGGCCTGATACCCGCCTGGCGCGGTGGAGCCTGCTTGCTCGTGTGCCGCTGCAGACTTGAGCGTGATCTGCGGCGAGATGCGCGGAGCTGCTGCAGGTGGCGCTGCGTCGCCCGCGTCCTGTCGCATGCGATACAGTACCTCTCGCATCATGCGGCCCATTGTCTCTTCCCGCGTGGCAGGATCCCGCACGTCGTACCTGATGGATTGATGTTAGCGGTGGTGGTGGTGGTGTGGTGTTGGTGTTGGTGGTGGTGGTTGGAGGAGTCAGTGAGTGCGACAGCTTCGCTGAGATGTGAGGATCAGCAAAAGGCATCGTTGGCAGCAGCAGCAGCAGCAGCAGCATCACGGCACGCACCAGAGCTTTGTCCCCAGCATTGCGCCAAGCCAGCCGTCCGGTTGGTATCCGTCCACGCGCACGGGCACAATCGTCTGTTTGTGAAGACAATCAAAGGTGGCGGTGATGGATGCAAATGAGCTGGCACATGGGCAAAACATATGCGAGTGTGTGTGTGTGTGCATGTGTGTGCGTATGTGTGTGCGCGTGTTTCTGTGTACGACTTAAAAGCCCGAAGACGCTGAACGCTGCGGCAAACACACACACACACACGTGCATGTATGCAAACAAGTACAGATCAGAGAGCTGCATAGACAGCGTGCCTTCTTGAGCTGGTATGCGTATTCTGCCTCTGTGCGGCAGTTTGTGCTGTTCTTGTACGGTTTGCTGAAGAAGACGAGGATCACCTGTGACGTCTCCACTGCGCGCGACATGGCCTCAAGCTGCCAGTGAAGCGGAGGTTAAGCGAGGAGGGTGTTGGAAGAGAGAGAGAGAGAGAGAGAGTATGAGAGCCGTACAAAGTCATGCACAGGTTTGAGGCAAAAGGAGAATTCACAGTTCGACAGGGCAAGCATACTGTTGGGTGCCGCGGTTTTCACGCACACACACACTGACGCGCGCACACACACACACACTGACACACACACACACACTGACACACACACACACACACACACACACACACACACACACACACGTGTCATACGGACACACACTCTTGTCTCACCGTTGATCCGGCCATCTCGTCGACATCCATCCACGTGTGAATGCCGTTGGCCTTGAGGAAGGAGCGCACGTTGAGCACAATGTCCTGGTTTGCCCAGCAGTACGACAGCATCACCTGCTGCTCTGTACCCGCAGGCTGAGGCTTTGCTATCTCCGCTTGGGACTGCCGCCTTGCGAGAGGGAAGGCAGCCAGGTGGATGTGGTGGTGGTGGAAGTGGTGAAAGTGGTGATAAGTGGTGTTAAAAGTGATGAATATGATGAGAACAACGCCGAGTTGGCCAAGTCGTGTGCAGTTGTGAGAATATATGTGCGTGTCGACAGACGAGAATGCCAGCCTTGAACATGTGACAAAGACCATGGACGGGCTGTGAATGGCAGGTGCGGTGCCGCACTCACTTTGACTCGTCCATCTGCCACAGCAGGCCGTCGGCTTGGGATGCAAGCTGTGACGGGTGGCAACGTGGGGGGGGGGGGTGCTTGTTGGTTCCGTCAAAGCCAAGAACCAGACAACGTGGAGCAGGGCAGCATACCCAAGACGACACACACACACACACGCACACGCACACACGCACACGCACATGCAGTACCTGCGAATCTGAGGAGCGGAGGGTGTGGAGGAGAGCCCTGAATCCTGGCCGCGCCGCCATCGCCGCCGCGTTGTCGCCGTTGAAGCCCAACCGGCGCAGCGTGCGCGCAGCCAGCACGCGCTGTGTATGTTATGTGTTGCGGGTACATGTGATGCATGTGTGTGTGTGTGTGTGTGTGTGTGTGTGTGTGTGTGTGACATGTTGAACGTGTATATATCGTGGATGCGTTGTGTGTGCGTGTGCGTGTTGTGTGTGACGAGGAAACGGGTCAATGGGATTGCAAAGACGGCTCAAGCAACGGGTGTGTGCGCATGTGGTGTGTGATTGCTCACGAGTTCGAATGGGGCAGAGTCCTCCTCCAGCACACACGCGCAAATGTCGAGTGCTCCCGATTTGGCAAGAAGCACTTTGTTGTTCTCGTTTCCGGCCAGACAGTACACGCCCAACAACACCTGCAGCCATTGGCAACCGTTGGCAGCACAGAGCCGACAATGAATGAGAAAATTGGACGCGGTAGCACAAGTGCACACACACACACACACACACACACACACACACACACACACACACACACACACACACACACACACTGCCTTCCAATACATTTGCATTCATGCGCAGTGCGACAATACACGATCGCACACACACACACACACACACACACGTTCTCTGGGACGTTGTACGTGTTGGATCCCTCTGGGTATGGCTGCTGCTTGAGTGCAGCCTGCAGGGCGTGGGTGATGCTCTCCACAAGCTCTGTCGACGCTTTCAGCGCAGGGTGCTTCTCTTCTTCGCCCACGAGCGACGCAACACCAAGCATCGCCCGCACAAACCTGCGCAGTCGCAGCGGTGATGGTGAGGGGGTGTAGGGTAATACAGTGAGAAGGAGGGAACATGGATGGTGGGCGGCAGTGGTGAATGACAATGGCAGCAGCGGTGGCAGTCATGGAGCGCAAACACCGCCATCATGCGACTGCGTTTGCTGTTTCCTTTCGCCTCACACCTGAGCAGAGTACGCACTTGTGCTTGGTCGACTTTGAGTTGGCAATGGGGAGGAGGGCCTCAACCACGCCAGACTCCAGCAGCGCGTCCTTGTTCTCTGGGCGGAAACACATGTACGAGAGGCCGCCAACACACATGCCAATCACGTCTGCCTCCTCCTCCTTGGTGCCGAAGCGCGCGACGTGCTTCACCATCGCGCCCACCGTGTTGCCTTCCCGCAACTGCGCATGGAAGCTTGGCAGTGCCGCAATATTGTTCAAGAAACGAGAAGCCTCTCTCCGCACACCTGTATGTGTGTGTGTGTGTGTGTTGGGGATGAGAGAGGATGGGGGATATTGGGAACGGGTGAAGCTAAGGGGATGTAGACGACGTTGAGCACGATGCATCGTGCACAACGCTCACGCATACAGGCACACGCCCGCATTACATCAGAGATCATACGACACACGCGCACTCAGATACACGCATACACACCCAGATACACACATACCCGCACACACCCAGATACACACATACCCGCACACACCCAGATTCACATACACACACATACACACACGCTTACAAGATTGAATGGAGGCCGCCTTGGCGAGATCAAGCGCTTCGACTGATGCATCAATGGCACCAAACTGAACAACCTCGTCGGCGAGCGCAGCCAGCTCAGGATCGTTCAAGGACTTAACAAGGCCATTGCCAAGTGCACGGAACGCAGCAGCTCGCGCCGCTTGATTCGTCGAGGATGTGGCTGCAGCCAACAGCAGCGGCACCACGTCCACCAACTCCAGCTGTTCCTCGCGTTTCGGCACGCGCCGTCCCTGCTCGTCCGTCGTCAGCCCATAGTTGTGCACTCGCTTGATGGTCTCTGCCGACAAAGGAAGGGGAGCAGGGAGGGGGAGGAGGGAGGTTGGGTGTGAAGTGAGGATAGGCATGGCGGCGTGGAGGGAAAGGGCGACGCTGCAAGTGCGAAGAAAGAAACACTTGAAAGACACACCAGTCACAGTCACATGCACAGTCACACCACACTTACAAACACGCAACGCACACACAAACTTACAAAGACGCACACGGACAAGCAACGCACCGTCATCTGGAGTGGGCGAGAGCAGGGACAGGACAAGATCGCGCACAGTTGTCATCGTTGTTGTGGTTTGGCGAGCGTTGTAGAAAAGTGGATGAAGATGTAAATAAATTTCGAGTAGGCAGTCATCCTGCGCAGTTTACGATGCGTTTGCACGACTTGTGTGTGGTGTCATCACACCAGCAAGCGAGCAAGCGAGCAAGCAGGCAGGCGTTCCAATGAAGACGCGTGACAGCCAAACACGGCTAACAGGACAAGCAAACAGCGAGGCCAGCAAACCAACATGAGTCAGCTCTGTGTAACGTGACAGAACACAGCACATCAACAACCAACAGGGTGCCCTTTTCCTTTCCATCATTTGTCTTCCCTCCATTTCTTCAGTTCAGCTTGCAGTTGCGCCAGGAATCCTTGGTGTAGTACAGGAAGTAGCAGTACCACTGGACAGCAAAGAAAGTGCATGTGGGTGTGCGTGAGTGTGCGTGCGTGTGCGTGCGTGTGCGTGCGTGTGTGGTGAATTCGTGAGAAGCAGCGACACCAGCACACAAAGCGTTTCACAGCGTTTCACAGCGTTTCACAGCGTTTCACAGCGTTTCACAGCGCACGGGACAAATGGAGCAAAGACCTTGAGTCTCACCTGGAAGGCATTCTGGCTGTAGATGGAGCTGTCGATATGTGTGTGTGTGTGTGCGTTTGTGTGTGCGTCGTGGCAGTTGCCTGGTGTGAATAGCGCGTGGCGCAAGATATGCGCAACACAGCCAAGCCCAGAAATCGCAGACGTTCCGCCTTGACAACACAACGTCACGCCTCAAACTCAAGTAACCCCCCCCCCCACACACACGCACGCACACGCACAGCAACACCTCCTTCCAGCATCACCATAACGCCTGACTCACATGTTTCGGGTCTCGAGAGAGTTGTCGATGGCGAGGGCGTGCTGGAACGTCATGTTGAGCGCGTGCATGTAATACGAGCCCGACATCTCGCCCGTGCGGTCCATCCCTGTTGTAACGGGTGGCAAGTTGTCGTGAGCACCACGCACTACATGACATCCAACACACAGCACGGCTCGCACACGCATTGCGCGGTTTCGCGTGCGGCACGTGTGTCGTGGTGATGACTTATCGCATTGTCACCGACCGCAGCAACAACAACAACAACAACAACAACAACAACAACAACAACAACAACAACAACAACAACAACAACAACAACAACAACAACAACAACAACAACAACAACAACAACAACAACAACAACAACAACTTAAACAACTAACAACAACAACAACAACTAACAACTAACAACAACAACAACAACAACAACAACAACAACAACAACAACTTAAACAACAACAACAGCAACAACAACAACAGCAACAACAATCTTAAACAACAACAACAACAACAACAACAACAACAACTTAAACAACAACAACAACAACTTAAACAACTTAAACAACAACAACTTAAACAACTTAAACAACAACAACTTAAACAACTTAAACAACAACAACTTAAACAACACCACCACCACCACCACCACCAGGCATGACGCAAACCTGCTTCGCAGTGGATGTAGATGATGTGGGGGATGTCCCTCTGCACGCCCAGGAACTGGTCAATCTCCGCCATGCGCGTGGGCAGCTTATCGAGCTGCCAGTTGGTGAGGTTCCTGGCCATTTTCTACAGCCGTGAGGGGAAGGAGGGACAGGGGAGGGAGGGGACGGTGAGTGAGGAGTTCATAGGGGCGGAGAAGCTGATACAAAGCATCTCAACATACGCACATACAGAGGCAAAAGGAATTCAACAGAGGCAAACAGAGGTAAACAGACACACACACACACGCACACACAGATACACACACACAGTCACACATACACACACACGGAGGCGCAAATGCCGGCGCGGACAACCCTCTCCTCGCATACCTCGCGCAGCTTTGGGCCGAGGGAATCCGGATGCACGACATCTCCGACCGTGAGCCAGTTGATGTACTGCACAGCAGCGTAGCACAGCGCACAAAGCGCAAACAGCAAGGGTGAGACGAGAGAGAGAGAGAGAAGGTGCTTGGAGATTTGCAAGCGTTGCTGTGTTTTTTCACTCAACACCGTTCCCCTCCCCCCCCCCCCCCACCACCAACACGACGCAAACGCACCTGACCGAGGTCAGGGTTCTTCTTGAAGAAGTTCTCCTCAACAATCTGGTCGGGGAACTCCAGCGGATCCAGCAAGCTGACATTTTGACACGTATGTGTGGCGATGCGCGGTGAACAGTTGCGTGTTTGAAGACCTGGCGACGGGCACAGTTGCAAACCAGCAAGCAAAACAAACCGGCAAGCAAAACAAACCGGCAAGCAAGCCAGGCAACGCTGATGGGTAAGCGTGGTTGAATCATGCTGAGCACAAGTACCTGAGGTCGATGAGGTAGAATTTGGAAGGGAGTGTGAGGTTTGCGGCTTCCTTGGCAGCCTTGCGCATGGTTGTGGTGAGCTCGTCGTACGCAAACGTGCGGTTCTTTGTGATTGGCAGATCGCCGCGGAACAACATGTTGTAATGGTTGTACTCTGCAATGAGGAGAGGAGGCAACGCGAGAAGAGAGGGGGGGGGGCGGCAGTGAATGAGTGAAAGTGAAACAGCTGGAAGGCGGGAAAGCCACGACAAAGGGACATGATAATGATGGGACATGCAAAACAAAAAGAGCGAGAGATAAACACACACACACACACACACACACACACACACACACACACACACACACAAACGCACACGCACATGCACACACACACACACACGCACACAAGCACACACACAATCACACGCACACACGCATACACCACACACATGTACAAACCTGGGACGTGAACAGCCTTGATGAACCGAAGGCGGTTGGGGTCAAAGGACCCGGCGTGTGCCAGCGTGACCCACGCGCACAGCACCACCGCCACCACAGCAGCACCTCGTCGCATCATCATCATCTTTCCTCTCTCCAAACAAACACAAGGCCGAAGGACACCCACAGTGTTTGGCCTATGACTAGGACGGCGGATATCAGCAACGACTTTTCACGGACAGCAACCAAGCAACTGACTGCACACTTGCCCACGTCTCCACTCCTGTTCCCCTGCCAAGCATGATGCGGCGGGCGTCCCTCTCGCTGCTTTCATCGGACGACGACGACGACGCCGACGATGACCATCGAGAAGCACGTGTCGGCGTCAGCGGCGGTGGTGGCAGTGACGACGCAGGCAGCACCACTTCGCTGTTTACCTCTCCAGCGGCAAGCGACGCGGACGGCGCGGATGGCGTTGCGTACCTGCCGCGGCGCGGCGTGTACCATGTCGACACGCCTGAGCGATTGCATCGACGACGGCGGACGAGGCTATCCACTTCCAAGCTTGCGGCATCAGATTCTGCGACATCCACGTCATCCACACTGCGAAACAGCAGCACAGCCAGCTTCAGCACAAGCGCCCCCGTAACAGCACCGACCACGGCAGCGAATGGCGTGGGAGAAACCGGCGCAGACTCCTCAAGCCCCAGTGCTTCGACGCCCCCACAAGCACCAGCTTCCAAACTGTCATGGATGGGTTGCTTTGTGGATCAGCTTCGTCTGGATCGAGGCGATGCAGACGCTGCCGAGATGCAACGGGAGCTTGAGTTTACCACTGCTCAGATTAAGAGCGCCTTCAAGCTCATCGCCAACTTTGAGCGGGTGTGTCTGTTTGTGTCTGTGCGTCTGTGCGTGTCTGCGTGCGTGCGTGTGTGTATGATTGTTTGTGTGTGTGTATGATTGTCTGTGTGTGTGTGTGTGTATGATTGTCTGCGTGTGTGTGTGTGTGTGTGTGTGCGTGTGTGTGTGTGTGTGTGTGTGTGTGTGTCGTGTGTGTGTGTGTGTGTGTGTGTGTGTGTGTGTGTGTGTGTGTGTGTGTGTGCGTGTGTGTGTGTGTGTGTGTGTGTGTGTGAGGGCAGCTTCTGTTTCTCGGGCATCTGCCTGCTTTTCAACGCACATCCCATGTTCTCTCATCAGTTCCCCTTGCCCATCCAACACACATACACGCACACGCATGCACGCGGTTTCTTCTCTCCATGCCACATCAGCTGATCTTCTTGGGAGTGTGGACGTGCCTGGACCTGCTGCTGGATCTCGTGTGCATCGTGCCTGTGAAGGCTGCGTTAGCCCTCGTCAGCCTCATCTTCGTGCCCATCACTCGCAGGTGCGAGCTCTTCAGACGCCTTTGCTTGATTTGCTTCGCATATTGCATATCATCTCCTTTTCTACTCCTCCCCCAGCTCCCTCCACCCATGACGTACACGCACACACACACACACACTCTCTCTCTCACTTGCTCTCTCACACACACACACATACTCTCACACACTTACTCTCACAAACACACACGTCACATGCACACTCACACACACACAACACACACATCACACATCACACATGCGCACGCAGGCCTGTCCCGCTGCAGTACTTTGCACGGCTTGCTGTTGCTGGTCTGGGCATGTGGTTCGTCAGCTTCATCGGTGAGCTGCGCTGTTGCTGGTATTTGTGACCACAGCTCATGCTCTCGTGATTGATGTCAAGGCGGGTGTGCCCGTCCTGTGCTTGTGCCGTGCTTGTGCCGTGCTTGTGCCACGTGTTTCCCTTTCATCACCATGCACATTTCTGTCTTCAATTCCCATTCCTCCCCTCACCTCCAAACATCCCCATACTCTTCACCCTGGCACGCCGCGTGCCATGGACGGTTGCAGACTTGAGCTACGTGTACCACAACATCCGTGGGCAGAGCGCCATCAAGCTGTACGTCATCTTCAACATGTGCGAGGTGTTTGAGAAGCTGTTTGCCACCTTCTCCCTCGATGCAATGGATGCGCTTGTGCTGCGCTCCACGCGATACAAGACCGCCCTCGACGTGCTGCTTCTCCCTCCGCGCGTCATCTTCACCGTCGTTCCCGTCATCTGCCACACCCTCGCCCTCCTCTACCAGGTGCCGCACTCGCACATGCTACTGATGATGACGGTGTTGGTGGAGTCATGAGTGTGTTGTCGTCCGCCTTGTTGCAACGTGATTGGTACACGTGTACACTGCACGTTGTGCACCAAATTATGTGCGTGCATCGTTCGCCTCATCTCTTGTCGTCCCGACAATCTCCCCGCTACTTCTTTGTCTGTCGATTCGGCCTTGTGCCTGGCAGATTCTGGCGCTGAACGTGGCCATCAACTCCCACAACACCGCCCTCCTCACCATCATCATCTCCAACCAGTTCCTGGAAATCAAGGTGCGTACGTGTGTGTGTGTGTGTGAGTGTGTCTGTCTGTGTGTGTGTGTGTGTGTGTGTGTGTGTCCGTACCTGCGTCTTCGTGTATGTGTCTTGAGCATGATGTAGCGCTCGCCACATTGCACTTCATCACCACGGGTCACGCTGCATGGTTGGTACAGGGCACGGTGTTTAAGCGGCTGGACAAGTCTGGTCTGTTCCAGTACACGTGCGCGGACATGCGGGAGCGCTTCCAGTACATCTGCGTCCTCTCCCTCATTGGCGTGAGCTGCAACCGTTTTGTTTTTGTTTGTGTGTGTGTGTTTGTTTGTGTGTGTGTGTGTGTGTGTGTGTGTGTGTGTGTGTCTGAAGTGTGCCTGTCTGTCTGACTATGACTGTTCCTATGTGAGACAAAGGGGCTTCTCTCAACGTTTGCCTGCAAGCAGCGAAATCCTTCACCGCTCCTCTCCCTCCCTCCCATGCCCCCACCCCCACCCCTGCAGGTTCGCAACATGGCTGGATACCACTGGGACACGGACTACTTTGCCAACACGCTCATGTGGAGCCTCCTCGCTGCCATGTCATCAGAGGTCTTTGTCGACGTCTTCAAACACACGTTCCTCACCAGGTCAGACGGGCAGTGCTCGCTATTGTGCAGAGAGTGTGCATGTTGTGTGTCTGTGTGTGTCTGTGTGGGAAGGGGAAAGCTTAATACATGACATTGCACCCGCTCGCTCTTGGCCTTTACCACCATGCGCGTTCACACACAACCACACAATACTACTCTCACACACGTGCGCGCGCGGGCAGGTTCAACGGGATTGACACGAAGGTGTACAAGTCGTACGAGCACATGTTTGCAAACAGCGTTGTTGGCGGCACAGCGTCGCTCCACACCCGCGAGGGGCGTGCCAGACGCATGCAGCGGCAGCTCGGTGAGGTACCACCACCAGCCATGCTATGACAAGCGTGGTGTAGTGCGCGTGTTGCTTCTGCTACTGTTGTTGTTGCTGTTCGTGTAATCATCGCCTCCAACCAGAACGAGAACCAGCATCACCGTCGAACTCATAACGACAGCTTCATCTTTATCATCGCCATCGTCATAGGCTACCTGGCAGAGCCGCTTGTTCTGCTGACGTTCAAGTTCATGCACGTGTCGCTGCCATGGGTTGCAAACTTGTACGTTGCTAATGCATGTGTGTGTGTATGTGTGTGTGTGTGTCGATCTGTCTGCACGCCCTTTTGCTTATCCGATCTGCCTCTTGGTGTTGCTCACTCCCATCCACTCACTTGACAGGTCTTGGGTGTATTGGGTGATTGCATTTGTGGCCTTGTTTGTCTTCAAGGTTCGCAGCAGCATGTGTGTGTGTGTGCGTGCGTGTGTTGTGTGCGTGCGTGTATGTGATGTGTGTGTGTGTATGTGTGTGTGTGCATTTGTGTCCCTTCGTTCTGCTCGGTTGCCTCATCGCTGTCTCCCCACCCCCGTGCGCGTTTGCTCTGCAGGCTGCTCAGCGCTGGCTGCTTGAGCTGTACTGCCACTGGCGCCTCACGCGCCTCTCAAAACAGGACAACGGACCCGTCAACGTCCACCTCTTTGGCGCAGGTGCCCCCCCCCCTCTACTCGTTTGCCGTGTGTGTGTGTGTGTGTGTGTGTCTGTCTGTCTGTCTGTCTGTCTGTCTGTCTGTCTGTCTGTCTGTCTGTCTGTCTGTCTGTCTGTCTGTCTGTCTGTCTGTCTGTCTGTCTGTCTGTCTGTCTGTCTGTCTGTCTGTCTGTCTGCCCAAGTGTGCCTGCTCCCCCCCCCCCTTTTCCACCTTCTCTCCATCTTCTCCACCTTCTCTCTACCTTCTCACCTCACCACATTTCCACCTTCTCACTCCCCTTTCCACCTCTCCCCTCCCCCTTCCCAGCCAACTACCGGGACATCACGACGGCGACGGGCGCGGACGCCGTGTTCCCGCTCGGCCCGCACGACCGCTTTGGCAAACGCATCAACTGACCATCCCCTTGCACCTGTTGTACATCACACGTCACGCTGTCACATAAACGAAGACCAAGTCGATGGCAGCACCACAACCAGCACCAGCATCACAAGCACTAGCAGCAACAACAACACATGCAATCATCTGTCACACCACACTCTGTCACAACAACATCCCGCCATTCATCTTCACAACAACAAAACACACACAATGGAGGAAGAGGAAAGAGATCGAGGAGCGGTGGTGCAGCTGCAACTTAGGAAGCAGAAGCGACGCATGCACCCGGCGTTTCAAGAGGTGTGACCCATGTGGGTGGTACGCTTTGTCAGTGGTGGATGCATGAGCATGTCCCTTGTGGTCGGTCGCACTTTGACGCTCGATGATCATCACATCATGACAGGAAGACGATGACGATGATGACAGTGATGATCACCATGGGGCGGACACTGGATCACTGCTCACGAAACGAGCACACACCACAGCCATCTGCCTGGAAGACACAGAAGCCAAGGCCAAACGACTCACGTCCGAAGGTCAATCGACAGCGACACACACACACACACACACACACACATACACACACTGTCTCTCTTTCACTCACACACACTCACACACACGCACATCATTGCAGGTGTTACGCTGGCTGTTGATGGCAAGTATGGACATGCGATTGGCCGCTGGAACGAAGCCATTGCTCTGGAGCCAACGCCAGAGCGTCTGGAGATGAAGGCCCAGGCACTCATGGAGATGTACCAGTACTTTCCCGCCATCCAAGCCGCCGAAGAGGTGCAAGTCTGTGTGTGTGTGTGTGTGTGTGTGTGTGTGCATGTGTGTGCATGTGTGTGTGTGTGTGTGTCTGTCTGTCTGTGCATGTGTGTGTGTGTGTCTGTCTGTCTGTGCATGTGTGTGTGCGTGTGTGTGTTGGTGGCGTCACTACTGCGCAACTTCATCCTCTCCCCCTCCCCTGTCCTTCAACACACGCAGGCTTTGCGGCTGCGACCAGAGTGGCCGGCAGCGTTGTTGACGCTGGGACGCGCGCAGCTCAACTTTGGCGAGCTGCTGTTGGCGGAAGCAACATTGGTCAAGGCAATCGCCATCCTGGCCCGCAGCAGCCACACAGGCGACAAGCAAGACCCGGCAAGCAATGACAGCAATGCCACCACCACGGATGAGGGTGGTGAACAGCGTAGGCAGGCGCAGGACGACCTGTGGTTCGTCCAAGAGCTCATCCAACGCAAGCGGTCGCAAGGCCTCGAACCCCACGACAGACGGCCGCACCAACCACCAAAGCCACCCCCATAGACGCTCTGTGTATGAATGTGTGTATGAATGCATCCATGTCTGTGTGTGTGTGTGTGTGTGTGTGTGTGTGTGTGTGTGTGTGTGTGTGTGTGTGTGTCTGTGTGTCTGTGTATGTGTGTGTGTCTGTGTGTCTGTGTGTGTATGTGTGTGACTGTGTGTGTATGTGTGTATGTGTATGTGTGCGTGCCTATCACCACCGATCAGAGTACACATGTGCAGTTCGGGATCAAAGACACGCGCCATTGTACTACCAGTGACAAACGAGACCAACACGGCCGCAAAAGGCACCTACACGAACACTCACACACACACACTCAAGACAACAACAACAACAACAACAACAACAACAACAACAACAACAACACACGCACACGCAACGAGGTAACAGCCGCCTTGGCACAACGACAGCAGTCATCACAAGCACCCAATCACAGATTCAAAGGCCACATATTGCTGGTCGAGGGTGGTTACAGACCCAGGAAGCAACCGCCAGTTTGTTGTGCAAAGACATCTGAACCACAAGCGACAACAGCGGACGTGAGAGACAGAGAGTGTGTGAGTGTGTGAGCACACATTGATGTGACACAGCAGCCCCTCAAGCACCCAAAAAGGTGTGTGGGTGTGGATGTCGTAAACACACACACACACTCTCTCTCTCTCTCACTCTCACTCTCTCTCTCACACACACACATTCACACACACACGCACACTCACACACGCACACACACACACATACTCTCTCTCTCTCTCACCAATCACGTCGTTGTTCTCCATCTCCAGAAGCGCGGGTGTGTCCTTCTCCTTGATTGCCTGACCGTCAAACAAGAATCGCACCGACGCCTTGTTCAGGCCCTGCATGCGTGCGTGCGTGCGTGCGGGCGTGCGTGCATGTATGTGTATGCCAAGCGTGAGCATCACAAGCAGCCATCCAGCAGCAAACAACAAAGCCAAGGACACAAACAAACAGTGTACAGTCACAACAACAACAACCACAACGCCACTTGCTGTCCGCGTACCTGTCGCTGGCAGAAGGTGTCCATGAGCTTCTTCAGCTGTGTCGTTGTCTTAATCTTGAACTGCACGGTGGTACCATCCTGCGAGTTGACCTTCAGGTTCACGTACTGTGTCTCATCGCCACCCTCGGCCTTGACCTTGGGCTGTTGTGTGTGTGTGTGTGTGTGTGTGTGTGTGTGTGTGTGTGTGTGTGTGTGTACATGTACGTGTCCATGTGTATGTGTGTGTGTATGTACGTGTCCATGTGTATGTGTGTGTATGTGTGTGAGTAGGGATGCGGCTTCAAAACGGTGCGTCAGTTCGCATCATCTTCATGCACACCACACACCACACACACACACACACACACACACACAACTAAACTTTTCCTTTCAGCACACCGCCGTTGAACGAGAATTGCGTCTCGATTATCTCCTGGAGTGCTGACCATTTCTGCGTACACAAGGGAGCATTACAAGCACAAAAGACGGAAGCCGTATGCTCGATGTACTATGCGTCAAAGATGGAGAGCCACCACCCGTCTACCGCGTGCATTCTACACCATCCTCAGGACGGTCCTGAGGTAAGGGTTGCTCTGCTCCAGAACACGAACGTCGCAAGGAGTCCAGGCGTGCGCCAGCATGTACGTGCGTGCAGATGCTCAGCACAGTCGTACACGAGCAATTTGGGTCGCGGCGATAGAACTGGGGGTCATTGCGCATGCTTTTCATCAGCACCACACGCCTCACACACACACACACACACACACACACAAAACTTTTCCCTTTTTTCCAAGGCACACCACCACCACCACTACCACCACCCACGCCAAGACATATACATACCTTCACGTCCTGCTGCTGCTGGTCAGCCATGGTTGCTGTGTGTCTTTGCTGCTTGTGGACTGTGCACTTGCTTGCGTGAGCGTGTCGTGGTGCGTTTGCTGTCTTCTTCTTCTTGGTTGTGGCGTGTGGAGAAAAATAACCAAAATCATTCACTACTAATCGCAGCCCGCCAAAACCTGGCAAAGGCGCACAACAAGCAAAGAAGAACAACAAGCACAGCTTTTCTGGTGGGGAAGGAAGCATGGGACGGCGGTGGTGGAGGATGGATAACAGCCGAACAAACAGAGGCACACGGAAGTAGAGAGCAAGGGGGAGGGCAAGACGGCAAGACGGGCCGTATGTGGGGGGGGGGATGGACAAGCGAACAAAACAACAGGACAAACGGCCAAACGAACCATCATCTTCACAAAACATGGAGGCTCTATTGAAACAGTGCCATGCAGGGCAACAAAAACGGCAAAGGAGCAAAAACGAGCATCGGAGCAAGCACAAGCACAAGGAGGCGGTGAACGTCAACGGAAGCTGGATCAACGAACGCTGCCAATCAAGGGGTGATCTTGAAGTGAGGGCCTTCATCCCTGCGAACCGCGGCCAGAGTCGTGTAGCAGAACTTGTATTGGTCCTGAGTGTTGTTGATGCGGGAGTGAGTGAGTGAGTGAGTGAGTGAGTGAGTGAGTGAGTGAGTGAGTGAGTGAGTGAGTGAGCGAGTGAGTGAGTGAGTGATTGAGTGAGCGAGATAGGATGCGTTCAGGCAGTGCCCACTTGCAGTAACGATGCTTGTAGAGTGTGAGTGTGAGTGAGAGAGCGGTTGCAGTGACAGTGTCTGCAATCACAACGACTGCAGCGACAATGCCTAACTGTTGCAGTGAACACACAACAATCACACAACAAGGCGCACAACAACCCTCCTCCGTCCTAGCCCACAGCCACGGCCACACCTTTGTCTGCACGAGGCCCATGCGCTGGGCGCGCAGCTCCGTCAGCATGTAGTGGAGGTTGACGGGGAGGTTGTCCTGGAAGGCGGCAAGGCCAAGCTCAAGTACCATAAACACACCAGACCGGCCAATGCCTGCGCTGCAGTGCACCATCAGCGGCATGGGCTGCTTCAGCCGCGCCTTGAACGACTCAACCTCCTTGATGTAAGCAAGAATCGTGTCGCACTCCGCGGGCACACCTGGATTCGCAACAGACGCAAGCAAGCAAGAACGCACACGTGAGCTGTGAAATACACCTCCCATGTTACGACGACCATGCACGAGTACAAGTGTTCACACACACACACACACACACACACACACACACACACACACACACACACACACACACACACACAAACAAGTACCGTGGTCGGGCCAGTCGACAAATTGGAACTGGAACAAGCGGCGGGGCTTGCGATCCTTTTCCAGAGAAATGTCGCGGATGACATAGCCAGGTCGCATCACCTCTTTGTTCAGCGTCACCCTGTCACATGTTGACAACACACTGGTGAGCACACATACCACCAGCACATCACGCGCGCACACCGAAATGCACCGTCGTCCAACCACACACACATGCAAATCGATGTGCACACGCACACACACACACACACACACACACGCACACACACACACACACACACACACACACACACACACACACACACACACACACACACACACACACACACACACACACACACACACACAAAAGGAACAGCAACAGGAATTTGAACGGAGGTGAAACTGACTTGAAGTCGCCAAACTGCTGGGAGGACTTTGGGCCGTCTGGCCAGTACTGGAAGCATTTTGGCTGCCCGCGCTCCCGCAGCGTCGTCAGCATGCAGATGATGCGCACAGAGTTTTCCCACACCATCTGCCAAAAGTGCGCGGTTGTCTCCCGCTTCGGGCCCTGTTTGGGTTGCAAGTTCGGTTGTGGGCACAAAGGTTGATGAATTGAGCAGGCGGGTGAGTGAGATAGTGTGTGTGTGTGTGTGTGCAAAGTAGCGATACACAGTGCCGCATGGCATCAGACGAGACATCAGTGAACAAGAGCCCACCTGAAACAACGCAACATGCGACAACAACACAAACACACTTGCGAACACCATACCTGTGAGGTGATGTAACGGTAAACCTTGTCCTTGATGGAGAAGGAGACGTGGTTGGCGTTGATGTAGTTGTTGTCGCCACTCTTCAGCAGCACACGCGTGTCATCGTCTTTCGCAGCAACAGCACAGCACGCACACAAGGAAGTTAGCAACGCACTCAGACGTGTGTCTGGCAGGCGTGAAACAGCATGCCTTGACCAATACACAAACAAACAAACAAACAAACAAACAAACAAACAAACAAACAAACAAACAAACAAACACACAAACAAAGGGTGCAGCTTACATGGGAGGATGTCGCGATATCTGTTGCGAACTTTGTTCTCTGGCTTCAAGGCGACGGAGCACAGCTGCTCCACAGATCCGCCCGGGCGAACGCGGTCAAGACTCTGCAGTCACATGCAATGAAAATTTGTGGAAACACATACGTACACACAGACACGCACACACACACACACAGACACACACACAGACAGACACACGCGCGCGCGTGTACAAGTTTCAGAGTGAGATGAACTTGCACAGCTTGGAAACGCGCAAGCAAGCAAACAAACAAGCAAGCAAGCGCATCAGCCCACCATCACACCAGCGCGTCACACTCGTGCACGTGCGCACCTCAAAGTCGCCGCCAATGAGTTTTCGTTGCAGTGACTCGTCCGCTTTCTCGTACTGAACATGCAAGCACGTGCAGGCAGGCAAGAGGTGAGTGGGGTATCAAAATGCACTTGCCGTACACCAAGGCCAAGCGCCTGCCGCACACAAAACACAAGCACATGCATAACACACACACACACACACAAGACACACACGGAGCAAACATGCGCACGCACAACTCGCACCAAGCACACACACACACACACAACACATGCAGGCTTGGCATGCAGACTCACGTATCGGCCCCGCTCGAGGACGCGGCTCTGCCTGCGCTCATACGACTGGTCCTGCGTGCTGACGGGGCCGGGCTGCTGCAGATTCGCAACAAACTCCTCTTCCTCCTGGCTCAGCTTCTTCTTCTGCTGCTGCTGCTTCACGTGCGCGCGACCCTTGGACGACGGTGACGGCTTGCGCATGCGCACCTCCACCACATCGCCGTTGCTCGACGCTTCAACCACCCGCCCCGTGTGCGTGTCTGCGAGGCGCCGGGGTGACCCCTCCTTGCTCAAAGCGCCATCGAGTGCGCGCGCGCCACTGGTCGTCACCGTATCAGTCTCTGGTGTGGCCGCCTTGGCTGCAGCCTCTGCGTCGTCGGTGTTGGCGCTGTTGTCGTCATGGTGATCAACCACAGACTCCGACGCAAGCTCGGGCGAGAACACCACACGGGCGTGGATCTCCTCCATGCGCACCTCAATTGTGCCCGTCGTCATCTCCGCTGCCGTGGGTTCCTCCTCCTGCTCCTCCTGCTCCTCCTGCTCCTCTTGCTCTTGCTGTTGCTCTGGTTTCCTCGCTTCTTCCTCCTGTTCCTGCTTCTCCTCTGCTGCAACACGGGCAGGTGCGGCGTTGTGGGGCGCTGCCTGAATGCCGTTCACGCCGCTGACGCCGCCACGCACTCTCTCCTCGGGCGAACGTGTGCGGTCCTCAAGCGCCGCTGCGACAGCCGCATCCTCAAGCTTCTCCCGCTGCTCTTCATCCTGCCTCTCCTGCTGCTGCTGCTGCTCCGCCTTGGCTGCCGCCGCTGTAACTGCGGCCTGCTGCTGCTGCTGTTGTTGCGGCTGGCTGCTGGTGGAGACGGGCGTGCGGCGAACGCGGCGCCGGCGCGGGTGGATGATGAGATCAAGCTGCTGTGGCGACGACTGAATGATCTTCAACACCTGGTCGTGCGTCGCCGCCTGCACGTTGATGCGGTTGATGTACATAATCTCGTGCCCAATCGTAATCTGCTCGCACTTGGCAGCAGAGGACCCCGGCTGGATGCGCGACACGATAATCGGGTGGTTGGAGTCTGCGCCGCCCTTGATGCCGAGCCCGTAGCGTCCGTTGGTCGACGGCAGCACCACGTGGTAGCACCGCCGGCACACCTGCGGCCACACAGCGCACGAGGAAACACAGTGAGGCGCGACAGAGACAAAGGGGAAGGGATGTGAGATGGTGAAGGGTGTGGTCAAGAACGAAGACACATGCAGCAATGGGTAGTGCAAAAGCAGAGCACATGAGAACACACACACACACACAACTACACACAGAAGCATGCAAGAGAAGAACATGGCAGTGACCTTGAGTGCGACGCTGTTGCCAGTGTTGCGGAACATGTTGGTTGCCTCAGTCTGGGAAGCATCAACGCACGACTCCTGTGCAGTGATACCGTGCACGCACGCAGCGAACCATACCAACACTGCGTAAGTTTCAAACGCTCAAACAAAAGCATCGCTCACACACACACACACACGCACACGCACGCACGCACGCACGCAAAGCATTGCTCACATGCACAAACGAAAACATCACACAAACACACATGCACACACATGCACACACGCACGCACATACACACATACATGCACCGCACGCACGCACATACACACATACATGCACCGCACGCACACACGCGCGCATACACGCGCAAGCATGCACACACCCATGAACGTGCACGCACATCGTTGACTTCGAGGACGTTGTCGCCGCACTGAAGACGGCCGTCGCGATCCGCAGAGCCGCCACTCACAATCCGCGTCACAAGAACGCGCGAACGCTGGCCCTGCATCATGCTGTCATGGTCATGGGAATGGTGGTGGTGGTGGTGGTGGTGGTGACAAGGTAGGTGGAGTACAGGGGGTGAGCGCACAAACCGCTGAGTAACAGCGTACGCAGACTGAGAGACACGCACACGTACTACGTCGTACACGAGCATGCGCATTTCCACACGACCACGCGCGCACTCACTCTGCGCTGGTGAAGCTGAAGCCGAGCTTGCCGTCCATCTTGGGGAAGGAGATGACCTCATACCCCCACACGTTGTCCACATCCACGTCCTCCGGCTGCAGTGTCGCCGTCGCGCCAACGGGGCTGATGCGCCCCGCCGCCGCCGCCGCCGCTACTGCTGCCGTCGTCGTTCCTGCCGACGATGACGCGGCTTCAGACACCTGCTGTTGCTGCTGCTGTTGTTGCTGTGGTGCTGCCCCTGTTGCTGCGGCGGTAGCTGTGGTCGTGGTGGCTGCTTCGCCGACCTCGGCATCGACGGTGATGGGTGGTGCCGGGAGAACCGGATCCGGGAGCCAGCACGTGCTGGCCGTGGCGCGCTGGAGGAGGTCGTACACTGCCCTGGCCATCTCGTCCACCGTGCCCTTGTTGGCCAGCACATGTGTAAAGTCGAGCATGCACTCCTCGCGCAACTGAAGTTTGAACGGTGTTGGGTGCGCATGCACGTGTGTAAATGAGTGAGTGTGCGTGTGCATGAGTGAGTGTTCGAGTGTGTGTTTGTGTGTGTTTGTGTGTGCGCGAGTGTGCGAGTGTGTGTGTGTGTGTGTGTGTGTGTGTGTGTGTGTGTGTGTGTGTGTGTATGTGTATGTGTATGTGTATGTGTATGTGTATGTGTGTGTGTATGTGTATGTGTATGTGTGTGTATGTGTCTATGTGACTAAGTTTGCCGCAAGCAGGTTGTCCCCTCCACTCGCCCAACAACTCACGGCAACGGTACCTTGTTCGCGACGAGCATATGCACAGCTGTTGCGTCTGCACCCATGTCGGGGTTCTGCTTTGCAACAACACTTGGGTCGACCGGGTCAAGGAAGATGGACAGTGGAGTGATGCCCACAGTCTGCATAGAAAAGACACCGCGGGTCGGTGAAAGGGCGTGGCACAGGTGGTGTGGCGAGTGGAAAGTGCTCGAACACTGACAATTGCAGCGCTTGACAACGTTGGGATCATCAGCAAGAGACCAACAACATGCATGTGAAACACGTCGCTGCGCATAAGGCCACCCAACATTCCTCCGTTCACAACCACATTGCAGTCGCATCACATCACACCACCGTCCCACGCACGTGCAGACGGCGGAGGGACTGCGGGTCGTTGACGTCGATGAGGCAGAAGCGCTCGTTGTGCTGCTTGAGGGCGTCCTGGACAGAGGCGACGCTGGTGCCGTACAGCACGTCGTTGAAGCGCACAACCTCCACAAACCGCCCTGGGAGACGGAGAATGCGCAAGAAACAGCGGGTGAGGTGGACAAACCAAAAACAAGACAGAATGGAGAAACCAGATGCAGCACTGAACACCACGCACAACAAAACACACACAGACACGCACACACAAGCACCACTCAACACAAACACACACACACACACACGCGCGCGCGCGCACAAGCAACTCCCCCCCCCTTCGTCAAACACCACACGGTAGATGCGGGCAGCTGACCTTGCGTCACGTCTGCACGCAACTGGTCACGGGAGATGAAGTTGTAGTCAACGCCGTCGCGCTCGTTTGCGCGCGGCGCACGCGTGGTGCTGGGCACGCACGACGAAAACAGCTCCTCGTGCGACGCCAGCAGCGCATCGGTAATGGTCTCCGCGCCGGGGCCAAAGATGCACACCAGCACGCCGTCTGCAGACCAGAGAAGCGGGATGGGGTTGGGTTGGGTTGTGTCGGATCGATAGTGGAGGTGATGGTGATTGTGAGCAGAAAGAACAGCTTGTGCACACGATACGGAACGTGTGACGCTCGCACCGCACGAACAGTAAACACAGCACGCATAACGAACAGCAAACACAATGTGTGCTTGCACTGCCGACCTTTGGGGATGGCCTTTGGCTTGACGGTGTGGAAGAGGGAAATCATGCCACTGCCGGGGGCCATCTGCTCCAGCACGACTTTGCCAGACCGCTTCATACCGCGCATCGACGCCCGGCTGTCATCGCGGATTGGCATTTGGGAAGAAGAGAGGGAGGCAGGGAGGCAGGGAGGCAGGGAGGCAGGTGCGAGAGACAGTACAGTTGAGCGAAAAATGAGGAACCCACGCCCGACATTGAGAGGAGCAGCCAGCAGCAACAGCAAGCAAATACCAAAGCCACAACGAACGACCACAAACAAATAGCCACAAACAGCACGCAAACCACCACAAACTCCTGCCATCAGCAAATGCACAATACCTCATGCCTTCCTGTGCGGTGGGCACGGCGAGGGCAGACGAGGTCTGCTTGATGCCGGACGCCGGGCGGTGGTCGTCAGAGTAGATGAGGCGCGGTGCTTTACCCGTGCGCGTCGTGCCAACCTCTTGCACGAGCAGCCATGTGTCGTCCTCGGCCGCAAGCAGCTCATACACCTGCCGTCGATGGCGGTCAAGTCAAAGAGCAAAGAGCAAGGGGGAGGGGGCGACAGGGAGTGCGGGATGTGCGGGTATGGGTGGATGTGAAGGGCAAAGGAAGAACGTGAGGGTAGGCAAACAGGAGGGAAGAGGGCAAAGTACACACCACAATGGTCAAGTGGGGAAAGACAGCAAGCCTCGCACCATGTCACCGCATGGTGAACCACCACAAGCAGACAAGCACAGAACTGAACACGTACGCATCCAGGCTTGATGGTGATGTACTGGTCGCTGGGACCGCCAATGTGTGACCATGACGTGCGTGCTGAAACAGCAGGGGTGGCGTGCGTGAGTCGGAAACGTACACGGGAGGCAGAAAAGGGCAACGGTCAAGGCGCATGAACACACATGTAGAGGAAATCACGCACAACCACACACACACGCACACACTCACTCACACGCACTCACACGCACGCACATGCAAACGCACGCACATGCAAACGCACACGTACACGCACGCACACGCACACGCACACGCATACGCACACACACGCACACGCACACACATACACTCAATCGCTTACCCTTGACAAATGTCCTGTCCTCCTCGCGGGCGGCGGCTGCGGATGCGCTGACATCAATGGTGGCGTCCTTCGAGTCAACAACAGACTCGTTGCCCGGCCCAATCGCATCAGCATCCTCAAGCACAACAACAGCTGCACCCGTGGCGGGCGTTGGTGACGTTCCCTCTTGTTCCGTGCGTTGTTCCGCTGCTGAAGCTGCTGCTGCTCTCACAGCAGCCTTGTCGTTCGCCTCGCTCTCGTCCTCCTCGCGTGTCTCTGGAAGTGTTGCGCGTGGCGAGGTGGGCGGCGTCATGCCAAGCTTTGCAGCAAGGCGACTCGACTGGTCCTTGATGGAGCCCTGCGACCGCAGTGTGCGGCGATCAATCTCCGGAGAACCGGACACGCCGTCCGCCACGACTTGCTGCTGTTGCTGCGGCTGTCCTTCCTGGTCCTCCACATCGAGCTGCGATGCGGCGCCGGCAATTTCCTCCAGGCGAGAACGGCGATCCGCTGCAGCCTGCGTGCACAGACACACGTCAAAGGAAGATGAAAAAGTATGACATGCACATGGAATGAGATGTAGGCGTGCATGGGAAAGGGTGAGCGAAAGGTGGGCTGTCGGGAAATGCAAGCAGGTATGTCAGAGGCATGCGCTTGCGTGTGGGGGCGTGTGCAGGAAGCAAAGGATGAGGATTGCTTCACCGCACCTGCTGTGGGCCGGCTTGCTCGGTCTCTGCTTCGTCCTCGGCTGCATTCGTGGGATGTAGTCATGAGATCTAACGGCGGGGGGGGGGGCAAAACTGCCAATCCTCGCGCACACTCCAATGCACCACGCCAGGAAGTAGTGTAAAACACACACACA